AATTTTTTACATCCAAGTTAGCTGCAGATATAAGCGCTAACAACGATTTCAGGGTAGATTTCTTAACACAGCAACAAAATTCTGATTGATATAAGTTTTTTTTAATTTACATCCAAGTTAGCGTATAGCGCAACAACGATTTCAGGGGTAGATTTCTTAACACAGCAACAAAATTCTGATTGATATAAGGTAGTAAGACATTGCTTCTTAGTATAATGCTAATATTAGCAGTATGCATAGGTAAGGAGTACCAGTAATCAGTAATTTTCTTATAATTCTTCAACAACTCAACAGGACTTTTATCTGTAAATGAATTAATTTTCCTAATGACCTGGAATATAACTCGTCATATCAACTTTTTGAGCACTGCTGGAATGAAATGAAACTCACAAATAGCCGAATTATCAAATTCTTAGGCTATTTCACACCTTCTTTCACACCCCCAACATGACAATTACTTTGTATTACAGAAAAAATTTTAAATACCACATTCTTATGTAAAATGCTTGTGGAGAATGATAAAGACAGAAAAGATACCTTGAAAAGTGATTCTGACTCCTAGGACCTCAGCTTCCCCCATTTGTTGAATTGCCCTACAAGTCTCCAAGCAGGAGACTGTTGCTGTGCATATCAGGTAAAATCACAGATTAAGGACTGACAGGCAAAAGGTGTAATTAGAATTCCCTGGAGGGCTTAACCACATTACTTACACATTCTCCCACCTCACTCAACCCTATCCATCCCCAAATACTAATATTTTGGTGACATATGTGTGTTATACTGCTTAGTTGTGCTGAACTAGATTATCTCTGGAGCCCCATTCAGCACCAACATTTTATGATTCAAGGAGCATAATGTTTTACATGAGTGATAGATACTATTTTTAAAAGCTCTAACCTTTATATTGAATTTATAATGAACTCTTGTATTAACTGTGGTAAATTGTGCACATGAGAAACTCCCTATGTTCTCCATATAGTTTTTTATGGTAAAAGTATCTGGTATAAAAGTAGTCAGGATAACTTTAGAATCAGAGAATTATGTTCACATTGTACCTTCAACTCACAAACACATTAACAGCTGTATGATCTGATTAAAGTACTTAAACTCTCTGAGTATGTGTTCATTCAGTAAAAACTTACTGAGCATATACCTTATGGTAGATCTTCGGGAAACTAAATTGTATCCATGAAACAGTCCCTACCTTCAGAAAGGTTACAGAGAAGATAATCAAATGATTATACAGATTTACCATTACAAACTGTAATAAATGCTATTTTTGTTTTAACAAGTAGAAAATTCTCTTCATTTTGTCCTTGCTTTCCAAACAATTCAGTGCTAAAGCCATCAGCTGGTACAACGCAGCTAAGCAGAAGAGTGGCTTAGCATGAAATGTCAGAGCCCATTGCAGAAACTGGACTAGCATGGAAGTCAATAGGATGAGGAGGGTGTCAATGCTGGGGAAACTCAGGGGATACCATGCATATAGCTTTAGAGCCCAAGTAAGATACAGAGGGGTTCCATGAGTGTGAGCCACCTAATAGTCTCAAAGCTTGAGCAGAATGTCCACAGGAAGGGGTGGCTAAGGTAAGGTCAGAACCCAAACTAAGTGAAAAGGTCTTCTGGATGGGAGGGCAGCCTGCCATAGGTGTCAGCCTGCCTTAGGTGTCAGTTAAGTAGGGTGAGAGTGGCATCCATGCAAAAGGGTGACATGGGCAGGGTGTCAAAAACAGGTGTGGTGATGCAGGACTTTGCAGAATGTCAGAGCCTGAGTGCAGATAGGAAGGCATATGCAAAAGCATAGAGGTGGGGGCAGTAACAGCAATGACAGACTGGCTGCATACTGGGAAACTGACAAAATAAGTACATATATGAAAGATAATAGAAATTAGGTTTTTTACTATCAAAGAAGGGAATGGAGAAAACTACAGTTGTTTAATTAAAATTAGACATAGCAATATGAACCCATAGTTTTCCATATATAGAAATAAATATAGATGTAAACATGTGAGTGTGAATATAAATGTACACACAGGTGCTTTTGCACGTGTACACATACACGCATGCCCATACTTGCACACACACACAACATAGTAGTAGCATATCTAGCACCGAGATTTTAGCTTCTAATTATCACTTTCCATGAAGAGGAATCACGGTTCCTTGGAAAAATGGCTCACCTAGGGCTAGAGTAGGAAAAGTACAAGATGCGCTTGCTAAATATAAAAGACTTTTTACTCCTTGTATGTAATTTCTTTAAAAGAAAATTGTTTAAAGCAAAAATAGTCAACAATGCAATCTGGGGCTTATAACATATAGAATTTAAATATAGGACAACCATAGCACAGTATGAGAGAGAAAAAAAAGTATACTATTCTAAGATTCTAATACAATATGGGAAGTGGTATATTACCTGAAGACAGGCTGTTATAAATTAAAAATCCATATTGTAAGCTCTAGAGCTCAGTTCTCAACTAAGGGCAGCCTGCCCCCTCCTACCCCCAAAGCTGGCAATTACTAAAGACACTTTTCACGGTCATGACAGGGGGTGTGCTTAGTATCTAGTAAGCAGAGGTCAGAAATGCTGTTAAACATCCTCTAATGTACAGGTCAGCCTTTCATAGCAAAGAATTATCTGGTCCAAAATGTCCATAGGTGGAGGTTGAGACCCAACTCTAGAGAAACCATTTAAAAAGTATATATTAAAAAAAGTAAATATACACACATGTATATTTAAGAAGCCAACAGAGGACATAAAATGGAATCCTTTTTAAAAAAAAAAAATCAATAAATCTAAAAGATGAGAAAAAAGGGAAAAGGAAACAAAGAACAGAGGATGAATAAAAAACAATTACCAAGATAGTAGACTTGAACTCAATCATATTGATAATTACATTAAATGTAAATGGACTAAATAATTCAATTAAAAGGCAGAGATGGCCAAATTGGATTTAAAAAAAAGACAACTATACAATGTTCATGAGATGCATTTTATTTATTTTTTATATGTTTAATTTTGAGAGAGAGAGAGAGAGTGCGCGCGCGCACGCACAAGAGAGTGTGTGTGAGCAGGACAGGAGCAGAGAGAGAGAGGGAGAGAATTCCAAGCAAGCTCCACACTGTCAGCAGAGCCCGATGCAGGGCTGGATCCCACCAAGTGTGAGATCACAACCTGAACTGAAATCAAGAGTAGGACACTTAACCAGCTGAGCCAACCCAGGCACTCCAAGAGATGCATTTTAAATGCAAAGGGCGGATGGGTTAAAAGTAAAAGGATGAAAAAAGATATATTGTGCAAACACTAATTATAAGAAACCTGGAGTGGCTACAGAAAAGGTAGACATCAAAACAAGAGGTATTACCAGAGAAAAAGAGCAATGCTTTATAATAAAAAGAAGGTCATTTCATCAAGATACCAAAGTCAACTACACTTCAATAATAAAATTTTTTTTTAAGAAAGAGAACAATCCTGGGGCGCCTGGGTGGCTCTGTCAGTTGAGCAGCTGGCTTTGGCTCAGGTCATGATCTCACAGTTTGTGAGTTCAGGCTCCACTTTGGGCTCACTGCTGTCAGTGCAGAGCCTGCTTCAGATCCTCTGTCCCCTTCTCTCTCTGCCCCTACCCTGCTCACTCTCTCTCAAATGTTTCTTTAAATAAACATTAAAAAAAAAAAAAAGGAACAACAATCCTAAATGTGCATGCATCTACCTAATAGCAGCTCAAAATACAAAAAATAAAAAATGACAGTGTTAAAAAGAGAAATGCACAAGGCCACAATTATAGCTGGAGATATTTACACTCCTCTCTCAGTAAGTGATATTATAAGCAGACCAAAAAAAAAAAAAAAAAAAAAAAAAGATAAAAAATTATTTGAACAATTCTATGAACCAATTTAATCTTATTGATGTGTGTAACATAAGACCAAGTGAAAAACTAATTGTTCTAAAATCTTTTATTAAATAATCTAATGCAATATACATGCTTGGTTGTCTGATTAATTTTTTTTCCTCCTCCTTCCTCTTTTCTAACAAAAACCTATTTCTCCTCTCAAAACGATCTACCTTCCTGGGCACTGGAATGTAT